ATCATTTGACTCTTGTTGAACCCTTTAAATGAGGTGCGATATAGCATCATCCTGACCAATATTTCCAGTCTACTGATACATTACTACGAAATCATATCAAAAAGCGATTTGCTGAGTACAGAGTAATGCCATCGTTTAAACTAAATATGATAAGTCGGGGTTTGTGGTGCTGCACCACACAGCATTTTATGGAACTTCGCAAGGCATCACTGACTGCCACTGCTTCTTCTTCAGTTCGGCTTCAGTGGCATTCTGCTGGCTTTAGCGACCAGTCGGTATCGGCGGTTGCCTATTCAATGCCCGCAGGGAAGCGGTAAGACATAATCTCAAAAATTTCGTAGTTGGATGCATCCGTGGGAACAACGATGTCCAGTTTTGTAGCGCATTGGGTCAGCTGCAGGTATAAGGACAGAATGGCGTCCATTCTTTCAAAATCCAGCTTACATTTCGTGCTACCGAACCACTTAGAATTTCTAAGAAGCAATGCGTTGAGCAGACCCCGTACATCATGCGTCTCTCGCAATATAGCTCTGAAGGACTCACTAATCCTAAGCAATTTCGTAGCTTTATCACATCATTTAGTATGAGTATTTTCTGGATGACCACGATTTCAGCTTGTTATGGTCTTTATCCGTGTTGGTCAATGACGAATTCCAAGTATTTCAACGAATCCATGCAGGAAACACACTTTTCTTCACTCAGTCGAAAGCCAGCATCTTGAATTCGATCAGGTAATTTTGAAAGCAAATTTTTATGAACCACTGGATTGGTGTTTATGAAAATGATGTCAATGTATGCTGCAGCAGATGGAACATCATGCGTCGTGGTGTCAAGGATTTGCCAGAAAATCTCAGGTACCCTTTTTCATTCTAAATGATGGGTAGGTGCAACGATACCGACCACAATAAGTATTAATAACCATTATTTCATCCGAATCGACAGACTGCTACTTGAAGATTTGCAATGGATAGGTCTATTTTGGCGAAAAACGTAGCACGCTTGAGCCTTGTAAACAAATCGTTCGGCAAACGCGACTAATATTGGTGATCTACTAAAGCACTGTCCAAACTGGTGGAGGAGTATGCACAAATCCAAAGTTTCCATTTAACTTTCTGACCATCGCGAAAGGAGTTGTCCATGATGATTGGCTCACAGGTTAACGGATTCCAGTCTGTTGACGTCTGTCCATATCCTGGTCAAAGTTTGATAAGCCCGTTTGACTAGGAAAAATGGGTTGAGTCGTAGCGGATGAAAAATGCTGCGCTGCTTTTCGTTTAGCAACCAAGCTCATCGCGAAATACATGAGGCTATCCTTTCGCATGCGCTATGACAGACCAGAACGGGTTGGAGTGAGCACCGCTGGAACAAATGACTGATCAGATATGGAGTTAAGTAAAGCTTCCCAAAGCTTGCTTTTTCTATCCAGCCGAAGCTCAACAGATGAAGTTTATTATTTGGCTCATGGCAAGTAAATCACAAGCTGCATAGGTGGGCTACCAATCCGAAAAAGCACTAGAGGATCGATTCGTCCCATTGGGACTAGTCAAGGTGCGCATATCCTCGGTTCCCTGCTGGGGATTAAAACCATGACCGCTAGATGCCAGCACCAATAGCCAGCATCTTAGGCCACTGCACAGTGGGGGACGGTAACAGACCATCACAGATTGAAACTTAATTGATATATAGTCCGACCCAAACGCCACTGACACGTATGTTGCTGCCAGTGCAGAGGACAGTGATTGGCCGTCCGAGTCAGGTCTTCCCTTACAAGTGCCGTGAATCCATACAGCATTTTTCTCTGCACTGACAGTAACTTTCATGTCAGTGGAGGATGGGGTGAGCTACCTCGAAGTTATATTTCAATCAGTAGTCGGTTATTGTCCACATGGTTCAATGGCACTAGCTACTGGCTAATGGTGTAAGGAACTAGCGATTATGGTTTAGATCCTCAACAGGGGACCGAAGGAATGCGCACCATTGACGAGTCCCAATAGGACGAAACGATCGTCTATTGCTTTTTCGGATGGGTGGCTCACCTATGCAGCTTGTGATCTAATTGTAATGAACCAGCTAAAAATCACACCCAAATCTGTCTACCCGCTAAATTATCACTTGTTTGAATTGAGAGGTAACACATGGGAAATAATAACGCGAAAGGGAAAAACGAAAAACATGTCATTTCACTAAAGAGTTTTAGGAGTCCACCTGAAGCGTTCGGCGCCATACATTTAAGCTTCCTTATAGAAGTTTGGCCGATCATCTTTCATGTGCTTTCTGACAGTAAAGAGATGTGAGATGCTGTATTCTACTGAAGACATACATCATATTTATTGGTGTGTAGTTACAAATACCCTCTGGTGTTTTGCGTTCATGTTGAAAGCAACCATCACAAGATTTAGCCTGTAGATGGATTTCTGTACGGCTTTACTGAATTGCTTGGACGGAGTCTTTGGAGGTGTTTCATTTTTTCATTAACAAAGTGGCGTTTGATGCCGTCGTTGTGATACGTCTGATAGTGGTGCTTTTGTACGCACACAGTTGGACATAATGCCAACCACAGCACTGCCAGCAAAGTGTTGGGGTTTGTTGAATATGCCGCTTCTAGGGGGATTAATGGCTACGTTGGAGTCCTATTTGTCACAGCATGCATATAAACGAAACCAGAAACTGCTTCTCGTCCGACCGTAGCATTCTATTGGTTCATGTTTAATAAGCGTTGGCATTCAGGAATAGATCTTCTCATGTACACTGTAATGTCCTGCTCCATTTTACTGAGTATGCGGCTACGAAAATATGAGTCTCGTGGTGCCTGAAGACTACAGACAAATGCCAGACACTTGAATTGGTCTTCCGCCATTTTCTTTATCTTATAGCGATTCAAGTGCTAGTTAACCGTGCTCGCATAAGACAGGAACTCGTCACAATCACATCTGAAAATCTTCAAACACGAGTGCCATCAGTTAAAAATAGAAGATGCTTCCCCAAAGCGATCTATCAATAAGGCAAAAATCCGTCAAAATTAAAATTCTTTGCAGCCTTAGGAAGAATGAAATCCACCAAAATGTTATCTTCCTAGGTCTAAAGTTTGCTTATGTGTAACTGATTTTTCCAGCCCGCAATGGCATCAGTTAATTCTACCAGGAATGTTTGTGCGTACTTTCTGAACTAAGATGCAAAATGTATGCGGTCTCAAGATCATAGCTAAATTAGGTGAAATCCCCCGAATATTTTATCCACGGATGACTGTTTTATATCAGCGGAAGAAGAATGAATATTCCATTTTCGCTACAGTTTGTTACTAAGCCATGACTAATTCCTCAAACAATTTCTGTTGATGTTGCAAGATAAAGATCAGCTCTTTCATTGAAAATATTGTCTTTTTGGGCCTTTACCGCCAGAAATCCTTTGCGTCCGGTTAGCCATCTATAGAATATTCAAGAGATATTCAAATCCGTCACATACAAAATGAGGCGAATCAACTTCAACCTGAACGAATTCTGACAGAGCAAAGAGAGGACTCAAGGTACAAAAGTCAGTGGTCTGTACAACCTTCCCTTAGATCACCTAGAAACTGCCATCGTAGCGAAATATTATCAGTTCGACAGTAGCGCTGAAAATATAATATGTCAATCATCTTCAGCATAGATGGTAGACGAAGGCGGTTTCAATAGATCCCTTAGATTACGTTTACTCTATCAGAATAACCAACCATTTTTCAACAAAATAATCGCTCAGCCTTTAGGGATAATTGGTCCAGCATTTTCTACGACAGTTCACTAACAATGCATCATATGCGCAGTCTGGAAGCGAGCATTTCCCCACTCATGATTTTGGTTAAACTTCTGCCATCCATATACTTTAATCGAACGCTTTCTTCGCTTTTAATCAACAATCATTTCAGCCTCGAGAACAGAACTTTGTGTCTGCGGCAACCAAAGCGCCAGTAGTCGTACCCTCCTGACTGTGTCATTTCGTAACTCCGGGGAAGAGAATCTCCTTTCCTACATTAAGATTACCAAATGCACTTTCCTACTATTAGTTTCAACTAACTCGTGTGGTGCTGTACCATAAGCCACACTGGAGTTAAACTGTCATTAAAGATAGAGTACCTACTTGTAACTAACCAGTGGTGGAAAACTTGCTGATTTCAAAATATTTGTGTGCAGGTTTGCTGGATTGTTCCAATTATACGATACAGTAGATCGTAGACTTCGCATGGCGTAAAAGTGGACCAGATGGTAATTGGTACACTCGGAATACGTTACATGCCAACAAAAGTTAAAACTTTCAGTTTATAGTTCGAATGGCTTTAAGGATTTTCTTTAACCGCTTTTTCTTTTGCAATATCTACTGCACGTTAATACTAGTAGCGTGTTAAACAACTTGGACAATTGCTTGACTAAATAGCAGAATTTTACTTATGGTTGTAAAACTGCAATTAATATAATGAAACCTGAAGAGTTAAAAGATAAATGGACAGACCGATACCTTTGATTATCCGGGGCATGAAATAAAGTAACTTCCTTATTCCTACAAATGGGTTGGGTTAAATTATCGCACTGAATTTTGGAAGGTAGAAGCTATTTATTGAGTTTCAGTCACCAATATACAACTTTCTTCAATGAGAGTTGTTCGTTTGCCTGTGTTTACTAGAATTATGTAAGCTAAGAGCAAGAAGCATCCTCTATTTTGGGAGGTAGTAGTAAAGACAAAACCTCCCACAGTATTTGAATCCGCGCATCAGGGATGCCTTGATACGTAAAATGCAATGTTCGCTGTTCCACAAACAGGGTTCTCTGTTAGAGACGAGTGTGCTTTTAATGTTCGTTATCAGGTCTTGGTGTTCTACAGAGTATTACTGGTCATCTTTAAAGCCACTGTAGAAAGTAGGCCAGAAAATATTGACAATGATCTAGTACTGAATTTCTAATCCAAAACCAGCCATTGGCATTTAGCTGGATATCAGTCACAAATCCCGGTTTATGTTGCTGTATATTGGTTTACAAAGCGTACGCATTTACTCCGACTTTTGTCACCGAAAACTCCAGGGTCACCATTTCAAATGTGTACATCAGGAACATCCAAGCAATGTTTGGCAGAATCTACAAAAAATAATACATGAATCAGGATAATGGTACATTGATTAGACGCGGGTATTTTCCTTACTTTAATGCCCAATAAACGGACGATGCAATTATCTTAATATTAATGTGATGCTTACTGGGATACACCTAATAAGTCCTCATATATTATGCGTTCAGTTTAAAGCCTTTTTAAATGGTGCTGCATGGTAATGCTTTACTAAACGGCTAAGTTAAATTTCCTGCAGCTTTTGGGACCGTTCAGTGTAAACTTCACACCAGAAATGTTATAAATTTATGAATATTCGAGCAATGAAGAAAAGGGCATAAAATGGGTAGCCTGTTTTGCTCGCATGAATCAATATGACGTTTTTAAGGCATCTAAATTCCGATACTCTGCCTGTCTGGTTTACAACTTCAGCAATCCGGTTTTTTGTTATTCCAATTTACAGGCATTTCTCTATCATACTTCCTCTTCCTAAAGAATTGTTGGTTTTTAAATAATGCTTGTGTTTGTCTTGGTTAACGTTATTCTGCTACCTAAATAAATATATGTTGCGAGGAATGCTGTCAATACGTGTATGTTCAAACGTTTTTTAGTTGGTTTGCCTTCGGCTAGTTACATAAGACTCGGTATTGGTGGGTACATACGAAAAGTACCTTCAAAAATAAATATTTGAAGATGGTGATATATGCATCTACTTACTTCATTGGTTTCATTCAAACCACGGCAATCCGTTCTACAGTTCACTTTCTTTGAAACAAGATCCGGGGTTTGATACAAAAGACGGCGGAAGTGTGTGGCAGATCGACCCAGGAAATCAGAGTCAGTCTACGGTGACTCTGACAAAAGTGAAGCTAGACAAAGATAAACTGGGAAATGAAATAGATGGAGTCAACATCAGTCGAAAAGCAGTAGGAACATATCCGTTGATCTGTAGGAATACTCACAAAATATCTGATCCTAGGGTTTTTAAATCACTGGACAAACACGATGAGCGTAAATGTTTGCTTTATATGTACTATTGGGCAGCGTTAACTCACGTGACCACCCTGAAATGTCCACACAATTTAGTCGCTGGATAAACAGTTCTGCTAAAAACAACGCAGAAAGCTAGCTTACTACTGTTGTAAAGTTATCATTTTGTGAATTGCTGTCAGTATAAGTGGAGTGGAGCTACATTGCTGATATGCCCACATGCATATGACAAGCACCAATTGACCGAAATAACTAAAATTTACTTGGTGGCTACTCACAGTTCTGATTGCGGTTGACTGTTGCAAATAACTGTCCTAACCGGTGTTTCAAAATGAGTCTCTTAGGGGTTCGTTACCGCTTAAGTAAGAATTGTAGCCATTCGAATTATTGGAAGTATAGTTTTGGGAGCATCCGGAAGTTCGAGGTATATGCAGTAATTCTGCAATTGTTTTACCAATTGTTCTATCAAGTACTAAACCGATTCTAGAGTGCAGTTTCGCAGCTGAACAACCCCGAGTATTTGGCTGTTGGTGAATAGATAAATTTAGATTCAGATAATCGTGAAGCGCGATCCTGACTGGGACTCCATGCTGCGTTTCATTCACATAAATTGGATATAACGTGAGGTTGTTCATTTTAGACCCCCCGAATACTTTAAATCGGTATACTACGTTTTATCAATAGTTTCTTCAACAAAAGTTGTGCTTGGAAAGGGTTCCGCGCAGTGCCGCAATGCTATATCTACTTCATGGAGGTTCAATTTATGTTTAATTTATGAACATAGGAACTGGATTCCATGGGATTTAAAGTATCTGCAAAATGATTTTTTATTGAATATTGCCAATAATGAGACAGAATAGGTATATATACATATATATATGTATATATATCAAAGTATTAGTAGGCACAAATGCGGAACGACGTGATTTATTGCCTCACATTACAGTTGTACACCATCCTATGCAGGTGCGTTGTGATCATTATAATTGTAATCTGCAAAGTAGCTGTCTAAGAATTTCTTGAATTCCGACCCTGTGTACATCTTGACTGTTGTCTCCTGCAAACTGTTTTAGTATTTCACCGCTAGAGGACGGGAAACGAAAAATCAGAGCCATTTGCTTCAGATCCGGTTATAAGAGCTTGTATTGGTGCCCTGGTGTACTTCATCAGATGCACATGCTAAGAGAAATTACCCAGATTTAATATCCAGCTGGCCATTATGGGGCCAAACCGAGACCAACGATTAGACAAGGTATATAAGCCTAGTTCCCAGCATCGGTCTAATTGCGATAACCTCACCTGGTTGTCCGGAGAGCTTGACACTCATTTTACCGGGGTTACAGCAAATGCATCGGAAACCAAAATATTACGCACAAAACAAACGAAGTCTTTCCTGAAGAAACAGGCTGGGAAAAGTGTTGCCTGAAAGAAGGCCTGAAGTGCTCATAACATCTCCTAAGCGCGCAAGCCTGAGAAGTCTGCATATTACATTGAAGCGCTAACATCAAATAGATTTGCGAAAACAAACTCGTGCCAGAATAGTTAAAACAAAAATGCAGCGTCACTCCGAAAAGGATGTACAGGCCGATAATAAACTCCAGAGCGTGCAGCGCGGAGCCCTAGCTCTATGTGCAGCTGATAGTTTAACAGTAAACACATAAGGACCACGGAACAATGGTTTATGACGAGTGAAAATGTACACACTTGACATCTCTCGTTTGTTGGCAATATAAAGAATTGTTATTTAAATATTAGATAAATGGACCAAATAAAATGCGCATGGGCAAAGCGATAGAGTAATTGTCTCGAGAGGGATGGTATGGGAGTGAGAAAGTACAAGCAAAACTAGACAGATTTGTGATGTTTATCACTCAGCAAGTAAAAGCCCATTGCTCACCACTCTGCACAAATTTACGTGCGTCAGGGGCTGCCTTGCTGAACTACCTTCTCGTGGTGCGGGCTGGGTGATTCGGGTATACGCCGTTCCAGTAAAGTGTTCGGCGGCAATCTTTCACCTCGGTGGGGCATTGTATTCCAGGAATTGTGCTGATTTCATGGAGAGTATTGGGCCCCTGTTTGGTGATCTACCAAACAAAGACGCATGAACTGAACATTCAGTTAGCGCTTACCAAGGGGCGCGATTCCCTGAATTCGCTCCGTTGCCTTGTGGGTAGGTTATTTAACCAAAGGCTCGGGGTGGAATACCCTAAGTCAACTCCCTACTTCTGCTTGGGCAACCGGGTAGTATCATGCCCTCTCACGAAAACATGGACTGTACTACAACCTGCTCATTAGCTACTGTTTCTGCTACTCACATTCACGCGACTTCATCACACTCCAATTGTTCGTTTGCTAACAACCCTCATTTTCCGTTAACCGATTCATGTGTTTAACAATCTGGCTGCGATTCCGGTTGCACCGCGGGCCAAGGCGTTCAACCTATGGCTTTCCTTCGTCCCCGATCCTCCTTCCGTCTGGCGTGCTTCAACGTTCGGACACTCATGCAGATTGAGGAGAAAGCCGGTCTAGTGCGCACCCTAGAGTCCCTAGACGTTGATGGCTGCTGTCTTTCAGAAACCTGGTTGCAAGACCCCAGCACTGTGCTTACATTGACATCCCCCACTGACCATGAAGCCATATATCACCTGCGTCTTTCTGAATATCCAGAAGCAGCCCAGCGGGTTTGAGTGGTCTAGGTATAGCACTAAGGGGAAAGGCCGAGGCGGCACTACTGGACTGGTTCCCGATTAACCGCCGACTATGTGCAGTTCGGCTTCGGGGTTCATGCAGATTCAACAAGCGCCGCGAAGTGAGACACAACTTGTTCGTGATCTCCGTGTACGCTCCAACTGACTGCAGTGGCGACTCGGTCAAGGACGAATTCTACCGGGATCTACATCAGCTCTTGACTAATGCTAGAAAGTCGGACATCGTTATCCTTGCTGGAGATTTTAATGCACTGTTTGGCCGCCTGTTATCATATGAAGGCCACCTTGGTGGTCACCACGCGCTCGATGAGAACCGATCTGATAACGGAGAAGGACTTCTCACATTGTGCGAAGACAACCATCTGTTTCTCTCGAGCACTAACTTCAGGCGTATAAAGAAGCGTTTCACAACGTGGCGTCCCCCTTCGCCAACACATCCGTGGTCTCAAATTGATCACATTGTAATTAGCTTCCGATGCCGCGGCAGTGTACTGGACTTCAGGTCCTTTTGGTCCACCTTCGTTGACTCAGATCATGCATTGGTTTGCACGAAAATCTGTATGTGTTTGGTGGTCCCGAAACACGAAGCACCGCAAGATTGATGTAAACAGATTAACTGATTCCTCTGTCCAGGCGAGCTATCAGTCTTCACTGGCATATGCACACAGTTGCAATCCGCCGCAAGACGTGGAGCAACACTGGACTAGTATACGGAAAGCGATGACCATTTGCGGACAGTAAAGTTGCGGCCTAACTCGACGCCCACTAAATCCTTGGATCTCTGCTCGTTCTCTGGAGCTATTCTAACGCCGCAAAGATATCCCGGCGGAATCAGGTTGCAACGAGCAGCGCCGTTCTGCCAATCGTCTACTCAAGTAAAGCCTACGCAAGGATCGCAAGACATGGCGGTCTGAGCGTGCCTTAGAGATGGAGACGGCTGTCCTGTCTGGCAACACTTGAAGGCTTTTCCAACTCATTCGGTCCACTGGCCTCAGGAAGCTTGGTGTCAGTGAGGTCATTTGTGAGGTGGATGGGTCTCCGATTACCAGCTAACAGAGGCGTATGGACCGCTGGGCCGAACAGTTCCACTCGCTGTTTAACTGGTCCCCACCATCCATCAGTACATGCACTACACCTTGTTGTTCACCCTGGGCTCGTCCCGCTGAATCAACCAGCGAAGCAGAAGTCTGCCTCGAGATTCGGCGCTTCAAGCGGTTCAAGGCTGCCGGTTCAGACGGACTTTCTCCGGGGCAGTTCAAGTATGGCGATGTGGCAATCATTAACCAGCTGACCGCACTGTTCGCAAAAATCCGGCGTGAAGAGAAAGTGCCTTCCTCTTGGGGCGAATCAGTTATTGTCCCGATTTTCAAGAAAGGCGCTCGCACTTCATGAGTAAATCATCGCGAGATCAGTCTTATTTCAGTTGCCTTCAAGCTATTGGCATCCATTCTGCTTCGCAGACTATCCGCAGTACGTGAATCATACTACCGTGAAGAACAAGCTGGTTTGCGTCCCGGCCGCGGATGCGTGGATCAAATCTTCACGCTCCGCCAGCTCCTCCAAAATCGCCACATTCATCACAGGCCCACTTCTTTGCATTCCTAGACAGCCGTAACGCTTTTGACTCCATTGATCGACCTGCTTTATGGCGTTGCTTACTAAATTACGGGGTTCCAGAGAAATGTACCGCCATCTTACGAACACTTTACCTTCGTACATCCGGCAGAGAGAGGGTCTATGGTAAGCTTTCCTCGCAATTCGCTGTCAATAGCGGTGTGCGACAGACCTGCCCTATGTCCCTATTCCTCTTCAACTTCGCAATCAAAAACGTTCTGTCGAATGCTCTAGAAGGTTTCCAACATTCTGGCCTAGAGCTTCCACCAAGTTAGCGCGCGACCGACTAACATTATGCTGATGATATCGCCTTACTTGTTGATGATCTTCAGGGTATGCAACTCACTCTGGATCGTTTGGTGGTTGAAGCATCTAAGTATGGCACAAGCTTCCCCCCATCGAAGTGTAAAGTACTGCTTAAGGATTGGCTTTCACCTGCCCCCGTGCTCACTCTTGAAGGTGCACGAGTTGCACAGGTAGATGGTTTCGTCTACCTTAGAAGCTGTGTTTCTGCTGACGGCACTATTTACA